ACATGTTAATAACATAAATCTATGTGAATTTATAAGTTGATCGTAATGGTTACATTTCGCCTCAGCATGATCTTCATTGTCATCATGTTCTGTGAGAAAATTGAAAGCATTATTAATTTCTTGTGCTTCAAATGTTTCTTCTTCAAGCTTTTCGATGGGATAATATTCATCTTTATGATTTGATACATTCCCATAATCGACAGTATCTTGATGCTCTTCATTAATATCAGAACAAGTCTTTCTTATAACTGGTTCTAAGTTCCTGGTAATATCGCGAACCCTTTTTATGGTATCAGATGAAACGACATCAATTCTTTTACGAATAGGTACTACTTGATCGTGACCTAAAGTGACTAATATATCACCATTATCATTTATACATTGTATTTGTTCTTGTTTTCTAGTTAATGATAATGCCTGTTCTAATTTTGGCGGACACACATCGAGAAGATGTTCTTGCTCATCAGATAATGATTCTTGAATCGATACTCGTGATACACAATTATCATTTCCAAGATCGATCAAATCACCATCTTCATTTGAAGTCATTTTGATTAATAGCTGTAACGAAAAAAATAAATTTAATTATACTAAATATTTAATCATATATATATAATATTTATTTAATTATATATATATATATATATATAATCTATTATACATCTCGCATTAATTATTTAAATTTCTACGATCAATCTAACTTCGTTCCACGAATAAAGTGAGTCGTTACCTTTTCTTTTCAACATTTGAACTTGTCCTACATTCACTTGACCTGAGAATCAAATATCTATATCATATTATAATGAATATATATAATGAAAGTATGTTAATTCTAAATTATAAAAATTTATTTTACATATGAGAAATTAATATAATTAAATTACTCTTAATTTTTTTATGAATTATCAAACTCACTAAATATGATTTACTTTACTACACTTCGAAAATATTGAATAATAAAATGTCTATATGATTAATATTTTTTAATAACTAATTAAAATCGATGTTTAATCTTATTGTATAAAGAAATACATATGAATATTAGAAGTTAAAGAAAATAAACTATAGCTTCTCCAACGGTCTTACATATATTATGAGAAACCATTAACAATGTTATGCTAAAGATAATTTGCAAACTTATTATTATTATAAAATATTATTTATAAATTATCTTACTATATCTAACAGCATTGCGATTATAAATAATATAAATAGATATGATAATTTTTCATTTTCATTTAGATTATTTATATTATGTATGTCTTTAAAGATTATACTTCATTTTTTATTTTATTGTTATTATCATTTCCAAGATTATTTTTATCATATGAAAAATTGAATATATTTATTATAATATATTATATATAATATATTATATTTATATTTATATATTCTTAAGAAAACATAAATTTTCATCGAAATAAATTTTATAAAATCGAATAAAGAAATTAAAAATTTTCAAATAAAAAAAAAATTAAAAGTTTCAAATCAAATTTGATGAAGAATATCATAATCATTCATTTTTTTACTGTCATTGTTTTACATTTTAATATTATCTTTAACATTAAACAAATAGACATTTTGCCTTGAATTTTGCATTTATTATTAGTTACTTTATAAAATTATTAATAGTATTATTAGTTATATTTATTATTAGTTACATTTTATAAAATAATAGATAAATAAATAATAGATGAATATTAATATATTAATCAAGGCATTCAATTTTTTAATATATTTTTAGAAACATATTATATTAATAATAAATTAAAAAGTTATATCAACAAAATTAAAATATATCATTAAAATTAAAATATAATTTTTTGAAAAATTATATATATATATTTTTTAATAAAATTTTTTGAAAAATTATATTTTAGAGAAATAGCGGAATAAAATAGAAATAGTGAACTCTACAATTTTTAATTATTCCAAACCTTACAATTTCTAAAAGTGTTAATATTAATTTATTAATTCATTCGTTATTTCAATAAAATTGCTATAATCTAGTAGCTAAGAATTTCAGCAATATCAAATAATATATATTTAATTATTAAACTATAGTTTGTTTTGCAATAAAAATTAGAAAAATAATATTAAAAAATAATTATAATTATAATAATGTAATTTGTTAACAAAAATAAAAAAAATGGAATAGAATATATACAAAAAAAATGCAAAATATATTTATATCGAATAATAATCATATGATTAATATATAATCTAAATGATAAAAATATGATTTATATATCAAAAGTATAATATTTTTTGATTTCTTGAAATTTTATTACATATTTTAACAATGCATTAATAAAATTAACTGAAATTTTTGTTGGAAATCGATCTAAAAGTTCAAATGAAGAGATTGTCACGATCGATACTTTAAGACAAATCCGTTGCCAGCACACTTGTTCGAGAAACAGGTAACCAGTAACCGGACCTCAGCTGGCTATGATTCTACATAATTCATTCGTGAATCATACAAGCAACTTAAGAATTCTTACGCAATTAACTAACAAAACAAAAAAATCATCTTAAAAAAATAATCATTTTATAATAATCATCAATATAAATTATCAAATAAATTTTTTATTTTTCTTGTTCATCATAAAATTACTTTTCAACTTTATCTTAAGTATTATCATGAATTTCTATATTTATGTTACCATTTATATTTGTCAATATTTTTAAATATTTTATTTAATAATAAATGAATAATGATAAGTGAATTAAAAAAAAATTTTTGTTATATATAATAATAATATTATATTAGTATACTATATTATAATATATATTATATATTATAATAATAGTAATAGTATATTATAATAATATATATTATATATTATAATAATATTATATGTTATATATTATTAATATAATATTATATATATTAATATAATATTACATATAATATTATATTATATTATATATAATATAATAATATAAATTTTTTTTAGTATATTTATATTTTTATATTTTTATATTTATATATTTTTTTTTTAATATACATATTTTATTTATTTTATATAAATATATAATTTATATATAGATTTTATATAAATATATAAATAATTATTATATTTATATTATCCTAATTATTTTTACATATTGATTTGAAAATATAAAATCAATAATCAATAATAAAAAAAATTAACAGAAATATTTTATCTATTTTTTCGTGAATAAAATATAATTTTTACAAATATAATCAATACACTAATATACATATCTTATATAAGATATAAATGCATATCTATTAATATTTGAAAGCTATAATAATTATAATTATAATAACAATTGTTTTATATATAATTTTGCATGTATGAAATTTTTTATGTCAATATAATTTAAACCTTCTTTAAATATTTTTTGATTTGTTAAATTATGAAATATATTTGTGAAATTTAGAAAATTGTACAAAATTATTATAAAAATAATTATGAATAAAATTTTATTGAATAAAATAGATACTTTTCATACCTTTATTTCTTGTGATCAATCTTCAGAAAAAATGTTGAAAAATTAAAAACATTGAATTTTGAGTAAAACTGTTCGCAAAAGATATAATATTGTGAATATTAATAAATGATTTCATTTTTATTTTCGTAAATTTTTGTTTCTTTAAATTAAAATTTCAATTTTTCGATTCATATTTGACTTATTCTTTATTAAACTCAAGAATTAGATATATGGTATAAATATATTTTTTTATCTATATCATATTATAATTTACATATATAATTTACATATTTATATATTTTAAATAATTAGGAATTATCAATATTTTTTAAAATATAGCAACGCTCTAATATTTATAATTGATTAAGACTGAGAATAACGCCATCTAAAAATATTATGATTTATTTAACTCACAGCGCGCCTATTAAAATAAAAAAATTCAATTCACTATTAACCTCTATTAATTACATTATTACATTTTCAATTTTATAATTATAAATTTTATTCTCAACAAATATAACATTACAAAATTCAAAATAACCGTTAATATTTTGAAGCAGCATTTGCTTTTACTTTAATATTTTCAATTAAATTTTTTTCATTATTTTAAATTCATTTAAAAATAATAATATATTCAATTATATTGTTCACTGCACTCATATAATTTCATTTTTTATATAATGATTTTATTTATTTTATTATTGTTTAAATTTCACTTTTATTAGAATTCTTCTGGAATTTTTTCTTCTTTTTTCTTTATTTCTATTAAAAGAATTTATGAACACTCATATTACAATTATATGATTCTTTTTAAATAAAGTCAAGATCCATTTCACATTTAGCCCCGTTATTCTTGATACATATTGGTTACATTGCCCCACGAAAAATCAAATAGGGCACTGGCATAACTTCAATAATACAATTGCAACAGACTTTAATAATACACGTTCATTGTTAATTTTCACGATTTTAAAAAGTAATTAATTTTAATTCATTTCTCTTTTTCGGTTTATTTTAAAAATTTTAATAAAACATTTGCTACAATATGCCACGTAAGCAATATGAAACAAAAATATACTTTACGTTATTCACGTAAGGCACGCACTGAAGAAAGAACGAACGACGGCAAGGAAAGTTCGATGCGTGCATTCACCAATTCACTGCCGATCTTCAATATACTAGTGTGTGTGGTCACTTGCTTACCCATTGGAAAGAGAATATGTAGACCCTAATGGCGGAAAGAAAGGGAAGTAAGAGGAAAGAGATAGCAAGGGAGAGTGAAAATGAAATGACTTAAAATAAATGAAGATTTACCAATGACAATTATTAATTTTAATTACATTAAGTATTTCAATATACTTAATAATAATTATATATTGTAAATATTATTATTTTTTTTTTTTTAATAAAATATCCAAATATTAACGATCACTAATTTTTTGTTTACATATTCGATTATCATAAAAAATTATAAATATCAATTACATTTAAATAAGATAAGTATTTTGTAATTATATATATAAATATATATATTTATTCTATATTTTAATTATGTATTATTAATATTTAATTTTGATTAAATTCTTGTAATTTTCTTTCTAATAATTCTGAATCTAAATAATGCTTACAAAGAAATTGGCCTTCTAAAAAAAGAACTGGAATTTCATTTTTGTATAATTTCAGATATTGTTCATTTCCAGATGCAGTAATATCAATTTCTTGTAACTGATAACGACCAAAAAAATGTAATTGCAATTCCTTTTTTAAAATATCACAAAGTGAACAAGGATGTTTTGTGTATAATGTTAATATTGGTGGAAAAGATATTGTATGATACCTGTAGAATAAATAAAAATTTTTATTCTAAAAAATAATTTTTTTTTTACATTATCTATTTATTATAACAATATATTATAAAAAATATAATTATATTAATACAAAAATTGTATATATAAATATCTTCATACACAATAAAAAAAAAATATTGTATACAATTATTATTATATAAAATGTTATATAAAATAATTAATAAAATATAAAAGAATTAATATATAAGTATGTAACTATCATTCATTGTATTATATAAAATTTGTAGCATAAACTCACAATTTTTCAATTAAGATTGATGAAGCGCCACCGCCTCCATTGCAAATAGATGCAATACCCTTTTCTCCAGTTTTTAAAGCATGTACTAAATGTACTACAATACGAGCTCCAGACATACTAAAATTTTAAGTTTTTAAATTTTATTTTAATTTTATATACTTAAATTTTAAAAGTACTTATAACTTTTTTAAATTTGTTTAAATATATGAAAAAATCTAATAAAAAATACTTGCCCAATAGGATGACCAAGAGATACAGCACCACCATGAATATTCACTTTATTAGGATCAAGATCTAATAATTTTTGATTTGCAATTACTACTACACTAAAAGCTTCATTAATCTCCCAAAGAGCTATATCATTTTTATTAACTCCAGTATTTTCTAGTAACTGAAAATATTTAATATATTTTTAAACAAATAAAATACATATAATTATACACAATATAATATATATCATCAAAGTATTATTTAATATTCTATTGTAGCAGAGTTTTATTTAAAACTATTTTATCAAAATTTTTATTTAAAAACGATTTGCAATTTTTCAATCATTTATAGTCATGTAATAAAAAAAATTTTAATAAAAAAAAATAATTTATTTTTATAGAAAAATCAAAACTATTTTAAACTTTTTAAAGGAATATATATATATTTTTCAATTTATTATAAAATAATATATTATATTATAATATAATATATAATATATAATTATTATATATATAATATAATAATATATTAAAATATTATAATATTTTAGTTTATATTTATTAAATTATATATATCATAGAAAAGCAATATAAATAGAAATGTCTCATATAAGTAATCATTACTACTACAAATTCAAAAATATAAAAATATAAATCAAATTAGCATATGCTGAAAAAAATATATTCTTTTACAAAATGATTTTTTACAAAACAATTATATATTAATTATATATTTGAATAAATTAAATTTTTTTTACACACTTTTTATCATAAAAACTGATACATATCACTATGATATCATATTTATCTATTTTAATTTTTTTCAATTGTCTTCTTTATATATGTTGTTCATGTCATATTGTTCATGAATCTTTCTTATTCAACTTTGCTGATATCATTATCAATGTAATTTCACTTATCATAATTTTGGTGGCTGAAAGCTTATTTTATATTTTATTTTCGCATTCTGCGGATTCCGATTTCCGTTGTCATCGATACATATAATTCAATATAGAAACAACAATTTTTATTAATATCTTAAAAATCATGAATTTATGAATCATGAATCCAGACAACAACTATTGTAATTCTTGAAACATAAGTTTTTGATCAAAATAACATCTCTAATTCGTTTGTTCCAATAATTAAAATGGAGCTGTGAAATATTACTGTAGTATTGGTGTGTATAGTAAGATTACATTATCAGATTGTGTTATATTCAGATTAGATAAATATCTAGATGTGGTAAAGCCATCTATTTTACATATTAGATTTATATATTTTAAGCCATATTTTTTTAACGAAATATTTATAGAAGCAATAATCATATTAGATTTTTTTACTCATATGCTTTCCAATGATATGTTATATCAATAACTGTGAGTCCGAATACTGTAATGTGTTCATTACATATATTATACGATATTTTTATTAAAATTAGATTTACAGTTATGAAAATAATAATTCTTAATGACTTTAATTATTTATGAACAATGTGATCATAGAATATTGCTTCAAAGTAATTTGTTATCTATTACTAATAAAAATATTATATAATATATTTTATGTACGAATGTATGAATGAATTTATGTATGAATGTATAATAATATATATAATAAAATTCTTCTTAAGGTTTTTTATAACATACTAGAAAAAAAATATATACTTTTATTTAAAAAAGATGATTTTGATTTTTATTAAGAAAGACTATTTTTGGAATTTTTATTATTATTATCCTACAATATTGATCATTTTTTAAAAATATTCTTTTATTAATAGCCAAAAATAGTTGAAAAATCGCACAATGTATTAAACGAAATATTCTACATATATTATAAAAAATTTACCTTAGAAATACTAATAGATGGTGCGATAGAAAAATCAATGGGTTCAATTGCAGCATCTTGAAATGCAATAATTCGTGCTAAAGGTTTTAAATTCATTTTTTCAGCAACAGTTGTAGTCGTCAAAATTAATGCAGCAGCTCCATCATTTAAAGTTGATGCATTTCCAGCAGTTATCGTACCATTTTCCTTTTATAATAAATAATTAAAGATTATCATTTAAAATTTAAATTAATTTATATTAATTAAATTAAAAAAATTTTATATTAATTAATTAAAAAATTTTAATTAAATTAATATAAAATAATATATAATATTTAAATAATAATTAATCTTAATTAATTTAAAATTAATACCTGAAAAACTGTATTCAATTTTGCAAACTTAACAAAATCAACTCTTTTATATTCTTCATCCTCATCAAATATTTTATTAGGATTGCCTTTCTTTTGAGGCACAGGAACAGAAACAAGTTCATTTTGAAATATTTTGTTTACATATGCTGCAGCACTGCGTTTATAACTGTTAATAGCATATTCATCTTGTTCATCACGAGTAATATTTAATTTTTTTGCAACATTTTCTGCACAATTTCCCATATGAAATTTATTATAAACATCAGTTAAACCATCAAATACAATACCATCCTATTAAATTAAAAAATGATAAATGAATAAATTAATATTAAAATCAAATATAAAAATACATAAGAATATTTTCTATAATTCTATAAAATATACATATATATATATAAAAACATTGTTATACCTCTAATTTTATATTTCCATATTTAATTTCCTTTCGAGGAAGATAAAATGGTACATTAGACATTGATTCCATACCACCAGCAAGAACAATTTCTTGATGGCCACATTGTAATGATTGAGAAGCAAGCATAATACTTTTCATGCCACTGGCACAAACTTTATTAACTGTTGTGCATATTGTTGATTTAGAAAGTCCTAATTTAAAAATATATTTATATTATTATTTGTGTCATTTTATTATTATTTGTATCATTTTATATATATATATATATATATATAATATAATAATATAACAATATTGTAAAAAAAAACCTGCAAATAATGTAGCTTGTCTTGCTGGTGCTTGACCCAAAAAAGCTTGACAAACATTTCCCATATATATTTCTGTAATTTTATCTTTGGGAATTCCAGCTCGTTCTACTGCTGCCTATTGAAATTATATATTATTTATCTACAACAATTCTATTATTTCTTTAATTAATATAAAGTAGAAATGGATACTTGTATAGTTATGGCTCCAAGTTTTGGTGCAGATAAACCAGATAACTCTCCAAGAAATGATCCTATAGGTGTTCTAGTTGCACTAACTATAACGACATCATTTAATTTTACTTTAGAATTATACAATCGTTGGTTGATCAAAGAAATCTAAACATGAAAAAAAAACTGCTAAACAATAAAAAATCTTTTTATAAATAAATTTTTGCAAATTATAACATATAGATTATATATATTAGTTATATTTATTAAATGTAGGTAATAAAAGAAAGAAAAAAATTATAAAATTATCATCATGATAAATATATATATATATAATATATATCATCATGATATATATATAATATATATAATTCATTTAGAAATTAATTATCAAAAACTAATTTTATTATAAATATTATTGTAAATTATTATAAATATTCAATTTTACAAAAAAACTTACTTTATTTATATTTTTTAATATCAGCATTTTAAAAAAGTATAACAATTTATTATGACTTATAACTTGTATCTAAGATACAATTAATTGCTTAGACTCTCAACTTATATTTCAACTTATATATATATATATAATATTTTACATGTTATATAAATTAAATTTTTTTATAAAATGATAATCATTTTAATTTAATTTAAATTTAATATTAGAAAAATATATTAAATAAAAATCTGAATTAAACAGAGATCTAATAAAAAAATCCTAACTTTTGCGCAAGCGTAGAAATAGAAGTTTTTAATTATATAGAAGATAAAATATAGTGTATTTCTATACTTTGTCAGTTAATCTATACTTTGTGAGGTGACATGTACTTAAATGATTATTATATTAAACCAGTATGTTTCTATATTTCTAAAATAATTGAGTTCCTAATATAAAATATAATGATCATTTATTCTACATCAAATATATTAAAGTTTAATTAATTTTTTGATTTATTAATAAAATTGATATATAAATATAAATGAATTTCGAAAATGAATGTTGAAGCAAATAGACTACAAACTTTTACTGATTGGCCAGCAAATGCTGCAGTTGATGCTGCTCGAATAGCAAAAGCTGGATTTTATTATAGTGGACATGGTTTAGAAGTACAATGCTTTTTATGTGGAGTAAAAATTTCTGATTGGAATTATGGTGATCAAGCTATAGTTCGTCATCGATTAGCTGAACCTAATTGTTCTTTTGTTCAAAATCCTTCTAGTACTTGTAATATTCCTTTAATACCAATTAACAATAATGAATTGGCATCACCATCAACAGAAATATCACAAAATAATATAATTGAATATCAGTCTACAAATTCTTATCAATACAAAGAATCTCAAAAAAAATATAGAATCATGTCACATAGGTTACAATCTTTTACTAATTGGCCACTTTCTTCTATTGTATTACCTGAAAATCTTGCCAAAGCTGGATTTTATTATCTTCAACATGATGATGAAGTAATAATGAATTTAAAAAAATAAATAATAATATTTATTATATTATATGTAATATATATTATATGTGTGTGTTTGCGTATAAATGTGTATTTGCATATATAAAATTGAGAATATTTTAAATATTATATATTATAACATTATTTTTTTATTTCTATATAATTTATATTATTTATAGGTACAATGTATATATTGTGGAGGTATTTTAAAAAAATGGGAGCTTGGTGATGATCCAAATAAAAAACATAGAAAATATTTTCCTAATTGTAATTTTTATATTCATCAAGATAAAGATGGTATTTATATATAAAAAAATTATTTTTCCAAAAAGATTATTCTTTTTTTTAATTATTTCTTACTTTAATTTTTTTTAATAGATAATTTATATTTAAATAATGTAAAATTAATATCTGGTACAACATCAAATCTTTTGGACTTAGGAATACAAACACATACAACTCCTAAAAAACAAGATTGTGCAACATATGAAGGAAGATTACATACTTTTAATGGTTGGCCAGAAAATATTAAACAAACTCCTGAAATATTAGCTAGTGCAGGATTTTATTATGATGGTATAATATAAAATATAATATAATACAAATAATATAAAATGAAGATTTAATAATTTTATATAGATTAAACTAATAATTAAATTAATAGTATTAAAATATTAAACTAATAGTATTAAAATATTATAATAGGATATGGTGATCATGTTAGATGTTTTCATTGTGATGGTGGCTTACGAAATTGGGAAACAACAGATGATGTATGGATTGAACATGCAAAATGGTTTCCTAAATGTGAATTTGTAAATCTTGTAAGGGGACAAGAATTTATCAAACAATGCATTAATAATAGACCACCATTAGATCAATCAGTAAGTAAATATTATACAATTTACACTTATATTATATTTTCTAAAAATTTTAAATTAGATTTTATATTTATATAGATTTTTGGTATAACAGAAGACGAAAATATAGATAAAATTGAAATGTCATGTACTTCTTCATCTTCATTAGAAATTACAGAAGCAACATTAAAAAAATTATTAGAAAGTCCATTAGTAACAGTAATGTATTATATATTTTGTATTTTTTTAATAGATAATTTTGATAACTTTCAAAATATATTTATTATTATTATACGTATTTTCATTTTTAGATAGCTTTAGAAATTGGATTACATATGGATAAAGTAAAAAGAGCTTTGAAAAAGCGAATAGAGGAAGTAGGAATACCATACACACATCCTGATCAACTTGTAGAAGATGTTCTTTGTGCGCAAATTATGGAAGAATCAACAAAGTTAGTAGTAAATCATTTAGTAAATAAAGTTGAATCTCTTGTTTTTAAAATTAACTAACTAAAATTAACTATTGTTTTTAAAATCATATGGGAATAGGAAACAAACAAACAATATAGAAAAATGTAATAATATGAAAAAAAATGAATATAAAGAACATTCAATTGAAAATAAGGTATTTAATCATACAGCTAACAGAAAGACAAATGTTAACTTCAAGGAAATTAGTAAGTAATGATAATAATTTTATGTTAAAATATATTATTTAGTAGAAAGATTATAATTATAAAATCACTAATTTATATATAAAATAAAATTTAATAAATTTAATATAATTAAATATAATAATAATAAATTTAAATAAATTTTAAAATAAATTATTATATTTTAATTAAAATACATTTAGATATTAATTAAAGATATAATTAATAATTAATAAAAAGAATATATTATCCATTGTTTCAGCATCTTTAGAAGAAGAAAATAGAAAATTAAAAGAAGCTCGCTTATGTAAAATTTGTATGGATCGAGAAATAGCTATTGTATTTTTACCTTGTGGACATTTAGCAACTTGTGTTTATTGTGCGCCATCTCTTACATATTGTCTAATGTGTAGACAAGAAATTAAAGCTATTGTTCGTACATTTCTATCATAAATTATATAGCAAATAATAAATATATTGTTAAATTTATATAAATTTAATAATTTAAAACGTAAAAATTATATCTATTTTATCAATTATATTGTAGACAAAAAAAACAGAAAAGAAAAGAAAAAAAATGATTTAATTCTATTAGATTAAAACTATATATCAAGTATATTATTGAATAATTGAAACATAATAATTTTTATTAAATAGAATATTATGTTGCTATTTTTAATAATTACAGTGATTATTGTGCGATTTTTTTTGATAGATTTTTTAGTTTAATTTATATACTATCAATATATTATCAGTTATTTGTGGAGATAAATTTTCCAAGAATTGATATTTATCACTTGAGTTAAAAATGACATTCACAATGAATAGAATGAAATAAAAGAAAAAGATAATGTGAATGTTACTTCCATGAAAGAGTTTTCAGGAAATGATGATATAAATTTATTAAACAAAATAAAATTCTATCAATTAAATATACATTACTCATAAGTATATCATATTAACTAATTAAAAATTAAAATTAAAAAAATATTAATATAAATATTTAGATAAATAAAATTTTATAACTTTATATTCATATATATTTATATTTATATAATAGTTATTAAATTCAATTTTACGAATTATTTTATGCTAAATATAATTTTTTAAATTATATGTAAATTATATATAAATTATATATAGCAATATATAATATACAATATGCAATATGTACAATAATCATACAATACAATATCTTAAACTAATATCTAGCATATTGATAAGATAAAATAAGATAAGATATAATTATTTAGTCAACAATTGTAATAATTTTTATATAAATTAATTAACTGTAAATTAATTATAGATCAATAGTTATTGAATTAATTGGTGAATTAAATGTGCATTTTTTAAAGGTAAGCACAAATTAAATATATATATTATATTATAATAATTTTAATGTATAATATTATAATTTTAAAATTATTTGATTTTTATTAAATATAAAAAGTATTGAGAGAAAACATAAATATGTGCATTTATAAATAATATATTAACATTTTTTTCATAATTAATTATATTTTTTATGTATGATGTCTTTTATCTTTCATTGATTCATTATTAAAACATTAAATGATATAGCAAACAATAGAAAAAATTATTTCAAGAATTAATTATATTTATTAAGATATATTTTATGTAAATAAAATTAAATTATACATAAACATATCGAATGTAAAATGTTATGATTCATTTCTTACAAAAAAATTAAAATGGTAAATTTTCGAAACTATAATAAATTTACGTATTAATTCATATAATAATTTTATACATAATATACATATATATTTTTATCTCATATTAAAAAAATATATATTTCATATAAATTATGTAGATTTAAATGTATATAACATAATTTAAATTAAATAACAAATAACAATAGAATAATATAAAAATATTTTACTATATTAATATTCTTGGAAAAAAAATTTTGAAAAATTTACGCATAAATTGATATATGAGTAAAAATATCTATATAAATCATGGTCTTTATTATTATTATGCTTTGATTATATTATTGCATCAAAAAAAAAAATAAAAAAGAGATAAATACAACGGCTATTGTTATATATTATTATTGCAATTATTAAAATATTTGACAAAAGATGTATTTCTCGTTTTTTCTAATTTTTCCTTACAAAAAAGTATTTAAATCAATAACTATAAAAATATGAATTGCAACATTTAAACATTTGAGAAAATCATCACTTATAAAAGAAAAAATATATATTATCAGTATTCTATTTTTTAATTTCATTTCTAAAATATATGTAATATTATAACATATAATAATATTATAATATTAATTAATATGATAATATAAAAATAATTAATATAATATTGATAAACAAAATAATTCATATTTTCATATATACTAATTTTTTATAATAAAATTAAAAATCAACTTCATTTTTAGATTTTTCATTTATAAAATTAATGTAACATATTTAATAATAATAATAGAATAATAATAAAATTATTATAATAATAACGAAATATTGCAGAAAAAATATAATGTTACTCTTATTAATAATATTGACAACAATAATAAAACTTAAAAATCTAAAATTGATTAATATTTCTAATTAATTTTTTTAATAAATATGAAATGATTTTATTTTATTATAATTGCAATTATATATACCATGATTTTAATCATATAAATTGTGCATATTCTTTTTTAACTTATTATCTTAACTTATTGTTAAAAATTATTTTAATAATTAGATTTAATTATTAATGAAAGAACAGGATGATTCATTTTTCACGTGATTTAAGTAATATCTAAATAAGATAATCAAATATCAAATAAAATAAGATTGTATTATATTTCTAATAATGATACAAAATTATTTTCTAATAATGTTAAATCATTTAAAATTTGTAATGTAATTCAAAATTAAATAATTTCGATTTGTTTCAAAATTGAGATTCAAATATTCATCATAATCATTAGTTTATAGATAGTTCCTTTTGATCACTAGATGGCGCATGCAGTGAGGCTTACTTGTGTCGTATTCCCGAATAACCTCCCTCGCTTGCATACGCTTCAGTAACAACGTCGGAGGTCGACGTTAAAGATTGGTATAAAAGTTGTGTGTGTATGTGTGAAAACAAAGTGCGTGTTTTACTTTTACAGTTATTTTGATAGGTATGTTATATTTATAATATATTTCTATTTTTGTTAATCATTGGAATGTAATATTTCTTTAAAAAAATTTAAAAATTAAATTAAATATTGTTAATTTAAAAATAAAATATTTAGAATAGCAGACTGAATTTCACGAATCATAATTATTAATCATTTATATAAGTTAATTAAATTTATATGAAATTATACTTTTTGTGATTTATTTTTTCAAATATGAAATACTATTTAAATAATTTATATAAAAAGTAATACTCTGTATAATAAATGTAATTCGTAAAGCATTTACATTCCTGCTTCAAAGAAATGATGAGTTATGTTTGTTGAATCTATCTTTCTTACATACCAACTTCCGTTGTATTCTCCCTTTTCTACTCTTGATTACGCTGTTGCCAAATGTCACAAAATGAAACAGATGTGAAAGTTCAGACTAAAGATTCCATTCTATGATTAAATAAATGAAAATACTATATTTTATTCTTTTTTAATAAAATATTTTTTTATCTTAAGTATCTTCAATTTTAATTTATTATTATTAATCTTAATTAATAATTTTAACTTTAGTTTTATAGATTTTTATGATAAAAATGTAAAAAAAATTTCTCATAATTGAAAATTGATAACAATTAATTCTATCATCTTTTATTATATAAATATATTTTATACATTTTGAAAATTTAAAAATTTATCTAATATATTATTAAAATAAACTTAAATTTTATATAAATAATATTTTTAAGACAAGTACATTCCGAAAAAAAAGAATAAAATCATTATAAATTTTTACCATATAATTTAATAAATTGATTAGTAATCTATATAAAATAAGTTTTTCTAAATCAAAACATTTAATATTTATCTATTCTATCGAAATATATATTCGAAATATATATATATATATCGAAATATTCTATTTATTTTATCTAATTTCTAATTAAAATCTTAACAATTTATATATGAAAATTCCTAACTTAAATTTTAATAAAATATATATACTTTATTATATATTATATTATATATTATATAAACTTTATTATATATTTATTATACTATATAATAATATATATATATATATATTTTTTATATAAATTAGATTTTTATAATCTTATTATGAATTCATTCAATTTTAAGATAAAATTATTAAAAAATAAAAAATATAAGTTGTTACGCCCTTGTCGATACACTTCATTCTCATGATCATATAGTGTAATGCAATAAGAGAAATTAAAATAGCATAAAAGCGGCAACATTGCACAGGGTGGAGAACAGTATGAGTCTTTATAAACTGAAGGAAGAAAGGAGAAGGAAGGCAGGCGACATGCGCCCACACGCATGTGCGCGCGCACACACACATAGATACACAGATACATAGAGGAAGAGGGAGAATTCTCGGAAGTTCGAAGTTATATGGCATATATAGGCTGCATCATTTTAACGTTATGTACTGAGAAAAGTTCACGATACATTATCATTTACAAATTATAACAGCATTGCAACCATCTAACAAGTTTAGAATTTTTCCCTTTCTCCTTTATTTTTTTCAATGTAAATAATATGACATATAAACAATGTTCTATAAATATATAACAATTGTGTATTCAACATGACATTTTTCATACGTACACATTCCATATGTTTCATATAAACAGCTATATATAATTGAAAATAAATTTAATTTTATTAATAAAAAGAAAGAGAAATTTTATTTATAAAATAAATAAAAAACAATATAAAATAAAATTATGATTATGAAAGATATTAATAATGGAAAAAGAAATTATTAATAAAATTCCAATAAAATTTACATAATTATAAACATGATATTAATAATATAACAATTGTTCAATATATCATTTAATAATTATTTCATTTTTCTTTAATAGATTTGGATATAATAGATTTGGCAATAAAAATAAGATGACTGGTATTATTAAGCACAGAGATTTTGGAAATGATTCAAACCTCAAAACTTCAACAAATGCACATTTAACATCACCACTTCTTATAACACCTCATATATTGAATGATGAAGTAGATAATATTGATTATCGCTTTGAAGCAGCAAGACTTCAAAGTTTTGAAAATTGGCCTGTATCATATATAGAACCTGAAAAACTTGCAGCTGCTGGATTTTATTATACAGGTGAAAGTGATAAAGTTAGATGCTTTGAATGTCAAGTTGAAATATGTCAATGGGTAGAAGGTGACATTCCAATGGTTGATCATCAAAGATGGTCAGCAAGATGTAGATTTATTCGTAAAATAAATTGTGGTAATGTACCAATAGGAGTAGATCCTAACACAATCATCCCACCACGACCAAGAAGTAGAGATGTATGTGGCCCTTACGGTTTAGAATATCGACTTACATCTGGTCCTGATAATCATAATTTTTCAACTGAATTACAATTACCAAGCACTGCTAAACTTAGTCGTTTAGGCTTGACAAGGCCTAAGGGACCTCTACATCCTGAATATGCTAGTTATGATGCTAGATTAAACACATTTTCAACATGGCCAAAATCTATGCCACAAACAAAAGAACAATTAGCAGATGCAGGTTTTTATTATACGGGAAAAGGTGATCAAACTATATGTTATCATTGTGGATGTGGTTTAAAAGATTGGGAACCAGAAGATAATCCTTGGGAACAACATGCAAAGTGGTTTTCTAAGTGCTATTATTTATTAACAGTTAAAGGACAAGATTATGTGAATAAAATAACAGGCCAGCATGTATCTCCACCTTCAAAAGAAGTAAAAATATAAATATTATATTTTATATTACATGCATAATTAATAATTCAATTATTATTTATTTAATTACTTATGTAATATTATACTTATTTCAGGAAACAATACAAATGAATTTACCTAGTTATATTACAAAAATACAACCTGCAAATATAGAAACAGAAAGGAAAGAAGGCACAGATAGCAATCCAGGATCAAGTTCTCAAGATAGTGGTGTAGAAAATATTGCAAGCAATACAGAATCTATAAAAGAAAGTGCAGAAAATTTATCAAATACAAAAATACAAAATAGTAAACCTACAGATGATGCAAGAATGTGTAAAATTTGTTATAATGGAGAATTAGGAGTAGTATTTTTACCATGTGGACATATGGTTGCGTGTGTAAAATGTGCTCCTGGCATGATATCCTGTGCAGTATGCAGAGAACCTGTTACAATGACTGTACGAGCCTTTTTCTCATAGTATTCCATATATATCAATAGTATTCTAATAATTATAGACAAAAATTCATTGCATATATAGCTAATATTTATGGTGATTCTTTGCATTTTACATTTAATTATTTTTGACAAATCAATATTTTAATAACTATTTTAAAAAGTTATAATCCGTCCAACGAATCGATTCAGTATTGATAAATAAAATATTTAAATATAAAATGTAAGTGAATATAAGACTTTAATTGATTGCATTCAATTATTGATTGGCAAGTATCAGACAACTATCGATATTTATAAAAAATCTTATATCAAAATAAAAAATTATTGTTTAAGATTTATTTTGTATTTTTATTTATTATATTGTTTACAGTTATAATTACGATAGTTATATTTATATCGAAAATGAATAATGATATAACATAAGAAATAAATTAATATACAGAAAAATAATTCTATTTCAAGTTGAAAATATGATTCATTACTGATTGATTCATTGGGTAATTAAATATAAATGTATTAGTTTTGATTAATTACTCAAATAGAATTTGTACAAAGATTTCAATTTAAATATTTAATTCTAATTTTAAATGTTTTGAATTAAAAAAATTCAAATTATTAAATAATTAAAATATCTAATTTTTTAAATGCATAAATTATTTAAAATTAAAATTAAAATAAATATTTAAATTGAAATCCTTGTAAAAGTTCCAATTAATCAAGATCAAGTAATTGATCAAAAACACTTTATACTTATCCATCATCTATTATCCAAATTCTATTAGTTTAAATTATCATTATCTCATTATATTGTATAATAAATTACATAATTAAAAATTTAAATTTTCTAATTTTTTAATTAATGTATGATTTATTTATCATAATTTTATAACTGAAAGTTATTTAATTTATATTTTAAACGATTATAATAAATATTTGAAGATTTTAATGCTAATAGAATAAAATAAAATAGAACATATATTTGTTTTTTTGCAATGAATACATTTATAATATTGATTTGAATATTCTTAAATTTTTCTTTTAATACATCAATTTGTTAAAAATAATTAAAAATAAATGCAAAATAAATCATCAAAAATATGTTACTTATATTATATTCAATGGATTTTTATCTGTAATTGTTGCATTTATTTCCATTAAAATTTCCATTTTATGCGTTAAATAAAATAAATAATTTATGTAAAAAATGCAACAAAAATTAGCTCATGTAAAAAATGATTTTGTTATTTAAAATATAATTATGAATAACAAGTACAAACAGATTTATTAATATTTCCAAAATTTTTAATTACTATTGTTATTTATTCAATAACAAATAAATTTTCAATTCAAATAAATTTTTATTTCATGTGCATTCAAATATTAAATGAGTTTATTTCACGAAAATTATTAATCATATAAAATTATTAAATTTTATGAAAAATTGTATTTTAAAATAATTCTCATATTTTTATTATTAGTTTTTTATTTATTACAATGATATATATACATATATATAAATTTTGCTTAATTTTTTTGGTTGTTCCTTTAACACATAGTTGTATGTATGTTTGCATTATTTGTATAAATTATCAAAACCTTAAATGTTTTTATAATATGTCGAAAATTTAAAATTTATTAATATACGTATATATTAGAAATATATATATATATAATGTTTGTAATGACAATATTAATAAAAAATACATTATCTTTATTGCTTTTAAATAACCTTTAAAAATAGTCCAATTATTACCAAAATTTGTAATGCAAAATTCTTTTAAATTTAGTTATCTTATTTTTATCTAGATATTTTTAAATTTATATAAAATTTATATAAAATTTAGATATATATCTTATGCTTAATGTTTTTTATTTATTATTATATGTTTGATATTTCTATCTAATATACATATAAATATATAAATAAGCACATCATAAAATTTTTAATTCTTCAAATCAAAATATTAATATATAATATATTATATAAAATTTTAATATTAATAAAAAATTTAAAAAATATAAAAAATAAAACAATTTAAATTTTAATATAATATACTTTTTTATTAAGAATATGCGTAATTAATTAAGTGTTTTTAAAATAATTTTAGTTAGATGTCGCTGTTATCGAAAATTAAAATGGCAACTGGTTCAATACAATAGTACGACACGATAGAATATAATAGATGATTATATTTTATATAATTTTTACTATTTGTGTTCTTTGTGATTTATTATGATGAATTATTAGCAATGGGAGACCTATTTGATATTGCAAATTTAATTACAACGGTTGGTGTTGATAGAATAAAAATTAAACCGGAACCTGGATTACCAGAAAAATCTTCAAATGAAATATTAACAGAATTATTTAGCACATTTGATGCTGAAGAAGAAATAATATCCTTAGAAAATACTGACCAACAAGTTCCAAATGCAAGCGTTAAAGTTGAAAAGTCTCTTAAGTCTCAAATTAAAAAAAAAAAAGCTAAAAAAAAACATAAACATAAGGATAAAAAACATAAAAAAAAATCAAAACGAAATTCATCTGAGAGTAACAGTGATCTTGAAAGTATATTAAAATGTTTATTAATAATTAGAAAAAATAGGTAAGTATATATATTACTTATAATTAAAAGTTATTTGTTTTTATAATTGATAGATATTAAAAAGAAAAAAAAGCACAAAAAGAAAACAAAACGGAAACATGAAGATGATTCAAGTAAGTCATCAGATTCAGATGAACCCAAAAATAAAATTTCAAAATTGAGTACATGTAACAACATGAAAAAGAAAAATTATAATAAAAATAATGGATCAGAACAACAAAACATGAATGAATCAGAAAATTTTGAAAAATTAATGATTAAAAAAAATTCAGAATTAGAAAATATATTTGAAAAGGAACCTGATAGTCCCCAATTACCACCCATTTCTAAAAAAATACAGGATGAATCTGAAGAGCAATTAATATCTAAAGTTCTTGGTTTGTATTGTTTCTTAAAAAAATTTGAAATATATTTTTGGCTTAAATATATATTTTTTTTACATACAGAAAGACCAAAGCAAGGATATCAAGGAAAAATATTAATAAAAGATCTTAAAAATAGTATAGTTTATAATGATACAGTTAGAGAAATAGAAATTAAAGAAAAAGAAAAAGCAGCAAGAATGGAAGATGGTGAATTATCTGACAGTAGTACAGATAATAAAACTCCAACATTAAGTCCTAGTCCAATTCGATGTATCTCTCTTAGATCATTGACTTTAAGTCCAACTTTGGAGAATATAGAAAATAGAATATTAAGTCCTTTAAAAGGTGAACTAACAGCAAAAAATGATTTAAGATTAATTTTGAGAGAAAAAGAAAAAAAAAGATTAGAAGATGTGGATAAAAGAGAAGGAATAGAAAAATCAAAATTATATATGGATAATGAATACAAAGAAAAAACATATAATTATAATAATAAAGTTGCAACAAGCAAAAATAGCAAATATAATCATAATTGTCATTCACAAGAAAGAAAAAGATCTGAATCTCATACATGTATGAATTTACGTAGAAGTAGAAGCAGAGAAAAAGATAAACGAAGAGATAAAAGTAAAGACAGATATAATAAAAGTCGAAGTAGCGATCGACGAGAATCTTCGAAATGTAAGGAACGACGAAGATATAGAAGCCGCAGTGATGATAGAAGCAAGGATAAGTATATACGTGGACGAAGTAGAAGTAGAGAACGAAAGTTAGTACTATTTTATAATAGTATATATATATTATAATTTATAATAAATTTTATATTTTATAAGGGAACGAATAGAAATTGATAAAAAGAAATTATTGGAAATAGCAAGAAGAAATGCAATAAACATGATTAAACAAGGAACATTACCATTAGTACAACAAGATAAAGCTATTGCTGCAATACAAGCTGGAGGAAAAACAGTAGATGAACTCACAGGTACAAATTTAATTCAATTATTAGCTATAAAATATTAATTATTTATTAATAAGCAATATGTTTTTTTATTTCAGATTTTTGTAAATCATTATCAAAATCCGAAGCTTTAGGAGAACTTTCAAGTATTTCTTCAGAGGAAGATGGAAGTGAATCTGAGAAAGGTTTTCATCATCCCTTTTTACTTAAAGGACGACCTAATTCTATTATTATGAATATTAAGGTAGGTTAATGCTTTGAATATTTTGATTATTTCTGAAAGTGCATTATATTATATTATATTACTTTGACATATAAATTGAATAAAATTATATATAAGAATTTTTTATACATTTCTATAATATAGCAGTTAAGAAAAATGCTGCTATATTAGCTGCTAAAGAAGTTAATATATATAATAATATATTATATATAATTATATATGATATATACATTAATAGTTTATTTATAAAAAACAGGATGCAAAACAATTACCTACTAAGACATTCCAAGAAAAAACAGTAGAATCATCAAATCAATTACGTTTACAATTTCCTGTATCAAGTGGTCAGCATCATAGAAAAAGTGGTACCGTTTTTGTTATTTTATTATTTTTTATTATAGATGAAATATTTACTTAATTAGTGTGATTAGTGTATTATTATTAAAAATTTTATTTATCCACAGAAAATGAATGGATACCAGTTACTCCAAAGAAATCAGAAACAAAAAAACAGTTTATATCAACTTCTGAATCAATTGAATCTTTTCCTATAATACCTTCAACTACTTCTACAGTTCCAGTGCAATCAATAGTTTTTTCTCAACCAATAGCAACAGAGGTATAGAAAAAAAGCATTATTCAATTATTTTGTATTTACATTTATATATTTATTACATTTACAGGCAATAGATATTGGTTCAATAGTATCTCAAAGATTAGCAGCAATGAGAAAATTAAGAGAAAATCCAAATGATATATGTGCCCAAAATGAAATGTATCGAGCACAAAATGAGGTATTTTATATTTGATTAGAAGAATTTATAATAATATTAACATATATTCATAGTTTATTAATATAAATTATATAAATTATAAATGTATTATATATTATATAATAGATGAAAACATGGGCTGAAAGTAAACAAATGCCAGGTCAATTTACTGGGAGTACTGGAGCTAAAGTACTTTCACCTGCCGAGCTTACTTCAGGTTATCAAGCTTGGGCTCGTAAGGTAACAGTATTATTTACATCATAATTTATCTTATTATTTGTTTTCTATATTTATTTGATCATGAAAATTTGTTTTAAGCAACTATTATATTATTATAGGAATAGTTAATCTAAATATACGTTTATTACTTATTTATGTTTAGAATTAATAAAATTATTAAGCGTGAGA